ACTGCCCCCTAAGCTTCTACCTAACCTTTTGTGTTGCTATTGTCAAGCTGATCTCATACATAATTCTTTAAAAGCACACAATGCTCAAGGCAGACATTCTTTTCTAATTAAGCTGAACTATTGTTTGGTTTAAAGATGACTTCAGGGGATAGTTTTGGTTTAACATTTAAGGTTTAGAGATTTCCTCTGGGCAGGTTTGTGGGGGTGTCATCCAGCCTTAATGGCTCCCGAAATTCTGGATTTCATGAGAACTTTGAAGTTTTGTTCTACATTGCCTCCCCCTTTTGATCAAGATTCTCCTATATTAACTATTTTATTATTATTCTTGTTTTTAGTCTTACAGAATGTATGATAACTTCTCTTTTTCCTTTTTGGTCAGTTTGATCTCTTCAAATTTACTGTGTATTTTCTATTTTTTCCTCTTGTGAAAATAAGCTATCGCCATAAAAGAAATATACTTCTATCACTTGCAAAAACACTGAAAGTGAGAGCTCCTCCTTTCCTTTCAGCCCAGGAGAAAGGAATTACACACACCCCATTAAAAATTCACAATACTAAGTCTCTGAAAGTTGGTTAGCAATTCCAGCAGAGACAGTGCTCATGAGAGATGAAAAGCATGTTTCTACTTTAACTGAGTAGCAAGGGAAATAAACAGGGTGAGAAGGTATGCACAGAAATATGGTGTTATCTTGATTATCACCTTCAAAAGCACTTTAAAAGTGAAAGAAAGGAACCTAGGTTTTATTAGCAACTAACTTTTCACTGTATGATTGGCAGAATAGGAATACTAGCCCCTGTAACCTTATTGCTCTCTAAATAATTGAGCTACAGTAACTGGCCATCTAAAAATGTCAAAACCTCAACTAAAATTTCAAATAAAAGTAAGTGGAAAATGTTCTTGCTTGCAGTATCTATGTGTTTTTGCTTAAGTCCCAGGATAGTCAGTAATCTAAGTTGGATGATAAAATAAAATCTTACATAATTAAGATGTTCAATTTTATAACGTAAGATGTAAGAATTACACATTGTGTAATCTGTTTCTGGAGGTCCCTGGGTGGTCCAAATGGTTTGCGCTTGACTGCTGATTTAAAAGTTGGCAGTT